GATCCTCATACTGTCCACACTCCTCACCTCCTCAACATGGTTACATTTTGTTCCACTTGGAGTACTCTTTTCCAGGGCTGCTTTATCTTTCTTTCTCTGTCCTTTCTCACTTTGTCTCTATTCTCTTCTCCATCCTTTGTTCCTCTCCCTCTCCTTTCAATCTTCTGCCCTCTGCCATATCCCCTTATGACTGTAGCATTCACTGCTCTAATGATCCTTTATATAGTGGCGTGCTCCTCTGTAGTTATTATATAAGGCATTATTTATTTTGTTCTTACACTTGCTCCCATCTGAAATAATTTTATTTCTGAAATCTGCTTTCATTGTCTTTTTCTCTGCCTTCATTGTCTTTGACTTTCCATTTCATTGGTGACATTCATTCTCTTTAACAGTGTTTGACACAATTACTATTGCTGAAGGAAAAAGGGGAGAGAGGAGAGTATCACCTCTTGGCCTTTTAATTAAGTTACTGAAATACTGATGAGCTCATTAATAGGTAGTTTCACCTACTGAAAAGTTATTCTTTTTTGAATATATTGTATTTATTGTGATTTTAACAGAAGTTTTCAGAAAAGTTGCCTTTTCATTCATTCATTCATTGATATAAATGTTCCTCCTCCCCTCCCCCCACCCCAAGTCCACTTTGCAATGTACCTCTTATTCTGGATTGTTGTCATACATATAATGCCTAATCATATATTCATTTTAAACAGTTAAGTCCCTCATCTGTTCTAATACAGAGTTCATTATCTATCCACTCTTTTCCTATTCTCCCCCTAACCCCTTATGTCCCTCTTGGTATAACAGTGCTGTTCTGCAGTATTTGTCCTTTTGTGATTTAGATACTTCACTCAGCATAATGTCGAACAGGGTCACCATGTTAAAAAGTTATTCTTCATGGACTAACTACAGTGACAGCAGAAAAGTAAATCTGTGCTGTAGAAGGTCCTGCTGGCCAAAATTTGCAAATGTTTTCCTTTGTTTTAAAGGCATGAGTAATTGGCTGGAATTTAGCCATGGACATATGAAAGGTTAGAATTTTGTGAAATATTCATACTTGGTCATTAAGAATGAGGACAATAATATTTGTCCAAGGTATTAGATTTGTGGTCCCTCCATTTTGTGAGGTTGTATGCCTTTTAAAGTGTGTGATAGCAGCCGGTGTGTTTGACACTATAGGCTGCAGGTGATGGGTGGTAAGTAAGTAAGTGTTCCTGAAGGAAAAGGGCTGAAATAGGCTTATTTCTCTAAAGGAATATTGTGCAGCAAGGCTGTTCAGTCTTACTCTTTTTGGCAGATCATTTGAAATAACTTGTTGCTCAGCCCATGGATCTGAAAATGTTTTTAAAACACAATCTCAACGTCCAGTTGATATCTGCAGGATGTACTGCTTTATCCAACATTAATTTTGTAGCTGGAAGTATATCAAGATGTGTTTTGTAAGACGTTAGGGAAATGTTATTTCACTGGCTACTATTGGTTTCAGTATTAATATTTCTTAAACTTATTGAGCTTACAGATGAGAGCTTAACAACATTCCTGCCAAGTAGGAAAACAACAACAACAACAACAAAACGTAACAATCCATAATTTGTATCCTTAAGGCTGCTAGAACTGAGAAATTAAAGATAAAACCATACCTGGGTTTAGAGATGCAATGAATTTCACCATTCCATACATACTAAAGAGAAGGAAATTATATGACCAAATTGGAGACATCATTTTAGAGATTTTGAGTTTTCTGTTCAAACCATTTTTTTCATTTTTTGAAATATTTAAATGGTAGTTAAAGGAAACAATCTCTTCTCTATCAGGGACTTATTTTAAGTTTTAAGCAGGATCATACACATAATATTATTGAATATAATGAAGCTTTGTAGTAGTGAGAGATATGACATACAGCTCATGCCAATTTATGTTGTTTGGGAGATTTGAACTCCAAGAGACCTCATTTGTGACCATTGCTAGTCATAGGTACTACATCCAGTATTGCAGCAGGAAAATTGCTAATATCACCATTCTCAAATGTAATGTTTTTAAACCTCAAAGAAGAGTAGTAAAGACTTGATTGATAAAGGTACTGATAAAAGACAAAAGTAATTACAGCTTTTTAAAAAATGAGGTATTGGACTTAAGTCAGAATAATTCATGACAGAGTTGTTCTCAGAATGGAGTGCCGTTGTTGACCAGGGACGTGTATAATAAAGTTCAGGTCTGTTCATTTTCAAATATCATGAAGAACAACAGAACTTTATGATAACAAAAGTTCTATAATTTCCCACATCTATCCAGAGTCTTATTAAATCTTTCAGGCAGCAGGGTGAATGGAAGGGAATAGAAATACTAATAGCAGCATCTTATTATGAAGCAATTAACATATCTCAAAAACTGTTATTCTCAAAATCATTCTGTCTTTGTGGAAATTGGATTGGCTCTTTTAATTTGACTTACTAATAAGCTGGGCCAAACACAAGTTCTTCTTTTTTAAATAAATTATCAAATATTAGTTTAATTAATTTATTCTTTGACCAGCTAATCTAGTAAACCAATTATTTTGACATCTGAAAGATAATGCCTCAATGAGATTAACAATCTGCTCTAGCTCTTTAAAGCACTTACACAATTAGAGGAATCAGGGATGTTGCTCATGTTTATTTTCTTTGATTTCTCAGAATGGAGACTAGAAAATTTAAAATAATGAAAAGAAATGCCAAAAACAAGATAAAATCTCTGACTGAGGAAGTCAATACATTCATCCTATTACAAACACCAGGGAAAGAGAGCTAAGCCACAACCTTGTATCCTTGTATTGACCCACCTCAGGTAGATTTCATTTGAAACCTTCCCCTGGTGATCCTTTTAAAACTAATTGCAGCCAAATAAATAACTAAACATGTGGAAGACTGGTAGCATAATCCACAGATGATTTGCCTTCAAGGGCTGACATTTAATCAGCTACTTCTCTGAATAGATGCTTCTAAGGTACCAGACTCTGTAAGAAGAAATCTAGTTATGTGGGCAGAGTGAGGGGTTGATGAAATTAGGAAAGATCCCTGAAAAGGTGGTATAATGATGAGCATGGATCAATGGTGACTAATTTTATAATACATAATGTATGAGAATGATACTATGAAACACAATATGAATAAAGGAATATACACAGTGTGTATGGATTTTGTAGGCAAACCAATATAAAATATTTTTTTAAAAAAAGCAGAAGCCCTGGTGACATACTGCATAACATTTGTCTATGTTATAAAGAATCAAAATTACTAATCATTGTAAGTGGTTCAAATCCAGCAGTCACTCAGTGGAAGATAGATTGACAGTCTCTTCTTGAAAAAAAAAATGTACAGCCTCAGTAAACTGATAGAGTTGCTATGATTTGACATCAATTCCAGAGGCCTGAGTGTTCATCACAGGGTTTTTTGTTGTTGTTTTTAACCTACAACCCTACTCAACCCTCATAATGTCTATAACTAATTTAAATTCTTTCTAATACTTATTAACTTCATTTACTCTACAAGAATAAATTACCAGTCAAGATTAAACCTGAGTTTTATAAATGGTTTACTTTCTTGGTTGCTAATCAACACTCTTGGGACAAGCAGCCAGGAAATCAAGAGACGAATTGCACTGGGGAAAGTTGTTAGGGACCTCACCACAGTACTGAAAAGTAACATCAGGCTGGAGACTAAGGTGTGCCTGATCCAAGCCATAGTCTTCACAATTGCATGCTATGCATCAGAGAGCTGGACAGTGACTAGGGATGATAGAAAGAGAATTGATGACTTTGAACTGTGGTGCAGGAGAAGAGTATTGAATATACCATGGACTGCTAGAAGAACAAATAGGTTTGTCCTTGAGAGGGGAAGCCAGGCTGCTCCTTGGAGGCAAGGATTCTGAAGCTTCATCTGACATACTTTGGGCACGTTGCAAGGAGGGACCAGTCCTTGGAGAGGGACATCATGTTTGGGAGAGTGGAGGGACAGTGCAAGAGAGGAAGACCCTAGATGAGATGTATCGATTTCAGTGATTGAGATAATGGGAGTAGATGTGTTAGAGACAGTGAGGTTGGCACAGGATAGGGCAGGGTTTAGGGCTGTTGTACACAGGGTAGCTATAAGTCGCAAGTGACTTGATAGCACGTGACAACAACTACAATCAGAAAGTTGAAGGTTCAGATCTTCTCAGAGGCATTTTGGAAGAAAGGCTTGGCAAGCTACTTCCAAAAACCATTGAAAACTCAGTAGAGCATGATTCTTTTCTGACCCACATGAGGTCCACACGTGTCAGAACTGACTTGGCAGCAACTCATCCTGCAAGCAAAAGTAAATACATAAACATCTGTCTATATTATAGAGAATTCAAAAGAAGTAACCCATGTCATTTATGGAAATACATTGTGGAGATGTTTTCCAGAGTTGTGTAAAAGCAAAAGAAGCTTCAAAGGAAATATTGGCAATGACATATCTTGATGCAGCAGTAGGTAAATGGCCCCATGTGAGGAAAATTGGCCCCTTTACAGACTGAAAGCCTGTATCCCTTGATTCTTTGACTATTTTTCAATCTACTTACAAACATTCTTCCAAAAATAGAACCTGACATACATATATTAATTACTAACCACAACCCATTATTAGCATTCATTTTAAAGAGTTGATTATACTTTGAAAATAATGTTAATAGATAATGTTTCCCAAGAATAATTAGTTGGAAAACAGTATCAGTTCTCACTAATGTTCTCTTTCTTTCTCATTGTACATTACTTCAGAAGATACATAGTGAATATTCATGTAATTTTTTTTCGCCCTGGCAGTAGGTTACTATCTTCTCAATGAAGGGCCCATTGATGACAGAGAATAGAATGTCCCTCCACCCCTCTACAGAAGACTATCTATTATTCAGTGTATTTGTCATTGCACTGAAGAACAGGGGACTTCTTATTTTGCCCAAGAAATAGCCTTTCATATTCAGCAACAACATGTTCTGTTTTTCAGGAAGTAAGAGAAGATCGAGATAGGGCGCGGCTGGACTCCATGGTGCTGCTAATTATGAAACTGGACCAACTGGATCAGGACATCGAGAATGCCCTGAGCACCAGCTCCTCTCCATCCAGCACCCCAGCAAACCTGCGGCGGCATGTGCCCGTGAGTTTCCGTCTACATTTACCCCACAAGTGTATCTTATAGTTAGCACGGTCTCACCTGAAAAAGAAACAACTCCAGTGGAAGCATCTACCAATGTATAACCTTGATTAAGTTTCCTATTAAAAAAAAATCCTTCAAATCTTTGCCTCATGTGAAGAGTGCATTAGAGAAGCATATAATTCAAACACATAACTGACCCTTGAGCAGATTTCCAAGACTATAAACAGAACAGGAGGAGATTGTCTATATTTTTCTATCAAAGTCACTGGTAGATTTAAGCCACCTGAGTCAGAGCCTTTGAGTTAGCCACACAATACCCTAAGGACTGTGCCACCAGAGCCCCCACTGCCTATCATCTTGGGAAATGCTTCCTAGTCAGTCAGCCCTCTTTGCTATGGTTGTCTGCTAAGTATAAGTCTTCTCCAACATAATGTAAACCTCATCATATGCAATATGTCTATATATGTTATTCCCAGTGTGTCATACATTTACATGTGAAACAAGCAAACAAAAGCAGTTGCTGTCAATTCTTTTCAGTGTCTGTTTGACAGCATTGAACTGTGTTGTGTAGGACCTCCAAGGATTGATTTCTCCAGAAGTAGATCTTCAGGCCTTTCTTCTGAGGTTCTTCTGGGTGCTGTTCCTTCTGTGGCACATTTCTGCTACCCAGAAACCCTACATTAAGATAGATTGTGTTTCAGAAATATTTACATGGAAAGATTTATGGGTATTAGATTGATGAATGTCACTTACACTATCCTGATGGACTACAGAGGGAGCTCTGGCGGCCCAGAGGGCAGGGAGTTGCATTGTCAACCCAAACGTGTGCAGTTTGGATCTACCAGTGGCTCCTCAGGAAGAAAGAAGGACAATCTCCTGCCTTATAAATGTTTCAGTGTCTGAAAACTGACTGGGAGGTCAGCTACAAGTTGGTTCCAACTGGACAACATTGAGTTTGATCTTTTTGAGAGTAGATTATAAGAAAGAAATTAGATGATATGGAAAGTAGAAGGTCAGTAAAAGAGAGGAAGAACCTCAGTGAAACAGCTTGATACAGTGACTGCAACAATGAAATTGTTAGGTGGATGCAGGAAAAGTCAAGGTTTTGATCTGTTCTTCATGGGATTGCTGTGAGTTGTAGCAGTCTAGATGGTACCCAAAAACAACAATTAGAGAGTTCTCTAAAATTCACTCAGTGAAATAGATTTAGTAGGCCAGAGATGAGATAATGGGTATCCCTTCTGACAGACTTAGCCTCAATATAAAATTTAAAGGATACAGATTCCAAGACCTATTATATACTTACAACTTCAGTGTTACCTTCATTGGAATTGTTTTTGTGCAGATCTGGTGTGTTGTTGTTGTCATCAAGTCATAGATGACTCATAGTGACCCTATGAATGAAAGTCTTAAACACGAAAAACTTTCATCTTTTCTCTAAGTTCTTAGAGTTTCGAGGGGCAAACTATTTCAGAAGTGGATGTCACTCCTGTTTCCAAGCCTGTTTTAATTCAGAAGTGCCACCAAACACTGCCCGCCATGGGCAACCATTATCACATTTGACACATCAGTGTCACAGTGTTTACGCATTTGTAAAGCAAATTGACAGACGAGTGCTATACCACTTAGAAGAATGTTTGTCTGAAAACAATTAAAAACCAGTGACCCAAGGGCCCAAATGCTTTTTTAAATAGAAGCAGGCCAATCAATACAACTCACACCCAGCTGGGACCAACAGCCACACCCAAATCTCAACCCCAAACCAGAAAACACACCTTTGCAGAATCCAGCCACTCCGTTCATCTTCCCCGACGGGAAAGTGATAGTAGACTTTATTGGATAGATTATAAGTGATCGATGAGTTCCTTTTCAATACATGTGTATTACACATAGTTGTTGTTGAGTAATCGTCTAGTCACAAGCTCATAGCCGACCCTCTAGGGATCTACAGGCATTAAACTGCATGGGCGGAGACTGCCCATTATTTTCCTGTGGACCAGCTGGTAAATTTGAACCATGTGCCTTTGGGTTGGCAGTGCAGCTTGTTACCACTGGACTGCCAGATCAAGTCAATAAAATACTCATTCACCTAAGATAAAAAAAAAAATAATAATACACTCATCAATAATTTCAGCACTTAATGAAACAGATTTCTCATATCAAATTTTTTATTAGTATGGTTCTACATACATTTTGGTCTTTTCTTCCTCTTCTGTCTTTGTAATGACCGTTTACACTCTTCCTGAATGATATCTTTGACAGCCTCCCACAACTCATCTGGTCTTCGCTCATTAGTGTTCAAGGCCTCAAACCTGTTCCTGAGATGATTCTGAAATTCAGGTGGTATGAAATCAAAATCATA